TTAGTACGTCTGGGCTTTCATGGCTGTCCCCTATGTGGATCCTGGGTGCAAGCCCATAATGGGGCCCACATTTGCTGCCCATGAAGCCCTCATCTGGGCCCCACATGTCATTCCTGGCTGAGGAGGCACCCTAATAGAAATCTGTCTGTGGCAGTTCAGCGTTTTGTGGTGCCGAGAGGCGCATGCGGTGTGTGAGCCCCTTTACCCATCACTACTGCTGAATGATTTCAGATATTTCACAGCTACAAAAGACAAAAATCACACCAAAAAACAACACAGTCTTTGAGTAAGATGTTTAAGAGACTAGTCCTCCACACAATGTAGTCCTGTTTTAACCAAGCCATCTGTGTTTAGACGTCTATTACACTGATATATGGAGAAATTGACTAGTCTGTTGAATTATTAGAGAATAATGCACATCTGGGACCCGTTTCAGTAAAGATGTTTAACCAACTCTGAGTTTACATTTGAACTCTGAGTTGATTTACCGAGAGATTGAAAACTTTGTTTAAGGTTTTCGGTTTCAAAACAACTTATCTGAGTTAGGTCAATCAACTTTGAGTAGACCAACTCAGATTTAAGCGCGCACATCGTGACTATAAAAAAAGCATTATCAATGAAGCAAAGATATTACGAGTGACTATGACAACATCTTAAAAAAAGAGATCAGCATTTCTTTCTCCAGCTGAACTTGATCTGCTCATGCAGAGTTATAGCAAATATGACCATATATTTAAAAAAAGCAACACGAATGCATCAGTGAAACAGAGACAGTTAGCATGGGAAATTATAGATGCTTAAGTTAATGCGTAATTTTACATTTAAAGTATTTAAATATTTAAGTATAATAAAATAAGTAATGTAATGTGTGACGTTTATAAAATCTTTACACACGTTCCCACTTTTATACATGTTGATCAGTTTTAATAGATTTAAAAATGCACTTGTGTGTCTGCCTTTTTATTGGTCACTTAAGTGATAGAGGTTGATATGACATTTAGAATGTAAGCAGAACGGGCGAGGCAGTGGCGAAGTAGGTAGTGCTGTCGCCTCACATCAAGAAGGTCGCTGGTTCGAGCCTCGGCTCAGTTGGTGTTTCTGTGTGGAGTTTGCATGTTCTCCCTGACTTCCCATGGGTTTCCTCTGGGTGTTCCGGTTTCCCCCACAGTCCAAGAACATGCGGTGCAGGTGAATTGGGTAGGCTAAATTGTCCGTAATGTGTGTGTGTGTGTGTGTGTGTGGATGTTTCCCAGAGATGGGTTGCAGCTGGATAAAACTTGCTGGATAAGTTGGGGGTTCATTCCGCTGTGGCGACCCCTGATTAAAAAGGGACTGAGCGACAAGAAAATGAATGAATGAATGAATGAATGAATGAAAGTAAGCAGAACTAAAAATAGTTTTTAGAAAGACTAATAATCCTAATTAATGTACCTGTCCCTGTTGAAGGTCAGTTAATTTAAGCTTTATTTATTAAAAAAGGACAAACCATTCTCGTACGTGACTTTGTTCTTTGTGTGACTGTAATGTAGCCAATAGCAGTGTTTCCATCCAAATATATAAATTAAATGTATGTGCAAAACTGGAATATTGCATAAAACATGCGAGTAAACCAACATTTCCATCCAACGAGTCAAAGAGAACAAAATCAACACTTCCTGATTAACTGGTGCCAAATATTACCAGAAAAAATTTACTGCAGTAGAAGAAGTTGAATCAATTATTTCTATATTTAATAAATGTCCCTGCGCCTCAGAAGACAATGCTGACACACAATGAACATGTAGGGGCATTTGAAGGCATGAGACACAGAGAACAGACACTCCTGACACGCTCCAAACGCTCTGGAGGTCATTAATAAAATAATAACAGTAATACTGAAATGGTTAAGACTTTTTAAAATGAATGAGCAAAAACAACGTTTCAGACGTGTTACAGTGTGCTCAGCCTGCTGGTTTATCTATTCACACACATTTTTATCATCAGCATATGATCTCTTATAACAAACCTTTTTTTTAATGCACATTCTGTTATTTGTTCAGTAAAAGTGTTTTCATCATAGTTTATGTGCATCTTTTCAATCGAATAATAGTTTATCCTACTCAGTTATGCACGTGTTTTTTATGTGTATTTTCCAAAGTGATGTGCATCATGTCGTTTCAGTCAATCGTTTTTATGTGCATCTCCAAAATAAGCGTTCAAATAGGTGGGTGGAAACGTAAGGCTAAGACGAGAAATACTGCTTCGTCTTTGAAAAAGATGAGGAGACCGACAAAAACTCTGAGTTGAGAGAATAAAACCTGCTCCTGACCAGGTTAGGTTCACAGAGTAAGTTACCACAGTAACTGACTCTGAGTTAAAGTTACCTCATTTTTAGAAACAGGCTTGCCTTACCCTGCTTTCTCGAGTTTGACAAACCTGCCATTTTGAAACGGAAAACCCAGAGTTTCTCTCATTTCAGGGTTAAACTACTCAGAGTTTTCACTTAACCTCCTTTCTGAAACAGGGCCCTGTTATATATGATGTCAATTTCCTTAAAAAGAGCTGAAATACTCATTTTGATCATGTTCATGAGATAAACACAGATCTGAACAGTAAAGGTTATTATCATTTTTATTTGTGTACATTCATAATCACAACTAAACTACAAGTTATTGTAAAAAAGGCATTTCTCTTTCTGGGTCTTCTGTCAACATGACTGACAAACATGTCAGAGAAAACAGCTGAATCTTCAGGAGCAAACTCATTTAGAAAACAAATGCTCTTTATTTTAGTAATCTGTATGAAAAGAGTGCAAAGCAGAACTCTGAGCTCATCAGCCGGCTAATCACATGACAAGTATTTTAAGAGTGTTTTGTGACCATCATGAAATTACAGAGTGTGTTTCTATTGGGGACCAATTCATCATCTCCTACCGTCTGTTTCTACTGTGCTGTTTGTCGTCTCCAGTCTGCATTTCAGAAATGTGTTAAAGGGTCACGAAACACCAAAACACATTTTTTGAGCTGTTGACAGTCGTATATGTGTCCCACACTGCTAAAAACACTATTAGGACACCTATATTTCACTAAAAAGTGTAAATTGTTTGTTTTTGCGTTATTTCAAGCAAATTCGTACTTCCTGTTGGAAACTAATTTTTGAAGCTGCGTCACGGCCATGACATAATAGCGTGTATTCCAGCGTGCAGACTGGACGTCTGTGCCTGAGTGAGTCTTATTACGTCTTACAGTGTGTTGCATTAATGCATGAGTAAGGCTTGGTTCAAACCAATCAGCGAGCTCTATTGTGCAACTTCATTAATATTCATTACTGTCACAGTGTAGACGGCAGAAACGCCACGTTGTGTTGGCAAAACAAGCGTGAAGTGTTGCTTTTATAGTTTGCTGCAGTTAAGTTTCGTTTTCATTTTCTCTCTGTGAGAGCGCAGACTCACGCGTGGATTAACAGTGTACGCGACGCGCGACAACAATAATTTACGTGTCTAAGGAGGATTATTGTTTACCTGAGAGCTGTTCTCATCTGCAAACGCTGAGATCCAGATTCGCTAGTCTCCTCTAAATAAAGACGCGGCTCTAGTTGCTGGTGATTGTCCTGTCTCTACAGATTTGGTAAGTGAGCGACCAGTGCTCTTTGTTTATTCAGTTCGTATTTTATTCGTATCAAACAAACTATTGCACCGAGTGTAAACAAGTTAGCACTAACAGTTACAACCAAACTATAACCTCGTGTTGGATTTTGTGACCGGAATAACACACGCGGCTTTCTGACGCTACCTGCCGTGTGCATCTAAGTTTCCGGGAAATGCAGAGTTTTTTTTTCTCTCATTCGCCGTGCGGTATCAAACATTGCATGAAAAATACACGCTTAGAGGAGTTCCTCGAATCAAATATCACGTTTGTCGGGAGGGACATTAATGAATTCCCTGAATGAAAGAGCCAAACTGCAGTTAAAGTCCACCATTTAATAATTTGGCAAATAATTCGACTACAGATGTCCATGTAAACACAGTCACATTGTCCGCTGTGGGTGTGTGTTTTGACTCTGAAATTCAGCGCGCCCAAATAGACACTCCCATACCAAGCCACTTTTCTTCCTCCGACACTCCCCCCTAAACACAGCTGGACACGCCCACTTTTCTGACTTTTTACAAAGTAGAGGTGTGAAAACACACAGCTGAAACGAGGGGGTTTCATGGCCCTTTAAATAAGACCCTCTCTCACCACACGCCTCCTGTGCACATGGTAATGCTTAAGGGGGCGTAATATTGAAATATTCAATATGGGTGATAATTTAAAATTTGACATGGTTCACAAAATTATTCCAATATTATCGCTAATATTCACTGTATCACCCAGCCCTACTCATGATTATTGTACATGCATGTTTATATTTCATGTATAATATCATCTTTCATTGTTTACAATAACATTCCCTCAACCGTCACCATTTTAAAGCACAGTTCTGTATAGCTCAAAATAAGCTGCTGCATGAATGAATGAGATGATGAAGAATGATAAAGATCTGCTTATTCTTTAATGTGTCCTTTCTGCAAGTGATTTACTATTACTTTCAAAAGTCAATCCCTGCAGATAATGTGATATGAAAATACGGTATGCATGTCTAGTGCAACATCTTAGAAGAAGCAGAAACATTAGATCATTCCAGAAAGAAATAATAATAATAATAATAATAATAACAATAATAACATGAATAAATAAAAGCAAAAAAAAAAGTTGGTATAACTAGAAACCAACTTTTTGCCATGTCGAAATCATGAGAAATTAAGTCGTGATCACAAGAAAACAAGAGAGAAAATATGTTTATTGCATGACCTCTTAGGACCTCCATAGACTATTTAAGACTATTTATGCAAGTTTATTTAGGCATGGGGCCAAGTTCATGCAGGTTACAAGATTCAGTTCTCAAAGGTCTTGTGAACAAATATTTCTGTGTTTCATGGAGTTATTTCAGTGATTTTATGACTCAAAATGAGTTTTTCCTACCTGGAAGATGGACTGGAGATTGTCTGTGAAGCTCTTGTGTCTCCAGAGAGTCTCGTCTCCTGAATCTGCCGACTCATATTCATCACTGTTAACAGATAAAACTACTGTAATCATAGAGGCAAACGCATACAGATACATCTTACAAACACTGAACATAATACATGTTCTGTATACAGATATTCATTCATTTTTCTTCAGCTTAGTCTTTTATTTATCAGGGGTCACCACAGCGCAATGAACTGCCAACTATTCCAGCATATGTTTTATGCAGTGGCTGCCCTTCCAGCTGCAACCCAGTACTAGGAAACACCCATACACTCTCACACACACACACACACACACACACACACACACACACACACACACACACACACACACACACACACAAAATGGCCATTTTAGTTAATTCATTTCCCCTATAGCGCATGTATTTGGACTAATATGTTCAAAACAGTCCATGTGTGAGCAATAATGTAAAACACTGAATACCTTTCGGAAGATGATGGGGTTTCCCCACTGAAGTTTGGTGGATTCCACCCTTTTGACTGGTCACTCTTCAGAAACACTGAGCTGGACACACATGATCCTGATCTCACACTGAACACACAAACACACCAGAGAAAAAAAAAGTGTCACCACCTGCTGCAGTCTCTCTTATGAACACAAGAGGGCACAGTGTTTCATTTCCAATCAGCCCCTGTGCTCCTGGTTGTCTCTTTGTAGCAAAATTAGCTCATAGAGAATTATAAATGATTAATTACTCATAATTTCTTATGAGCTCAATTAGATAGTGCTATAACTTTATTCATCACTTGTATTGCCTCTTCCTATAGCAGCTGAATGTGTGTTAGATTAGTTTCAGTGTTCAGTGTAGTTAATTAAGCATTACTTGTGTCACTCTTCATATTGTTCATTATTTGCTCATAAATTAAATCTGGCAGAATACTCTAAATTGTCATGCCTGAGTTCTCTCAGGAAGGCAGAGGATCACAGGAGTTATTGAACTTGTAGATTTATTGTTAAACACTCACATGGAAGACAGAGAAAATTTTCAATCTCTGAATTAATCTACATTAAAATGGCTCTTCTGCCGAAGGCATTCAGAATATGTGTGCTACCCAAGCGGCAACCTCCCGCTCTCCCTCAGGAAGCCAATACGAAAGTAACTAAAACTGCAATTCATCCGAAATTCCGCTAGTCCTGGCCGCTCCTGGCTCCAAAAAAGAGCAAATTTCAATTGAGCCCACTGTTAGAATGGCCAACTTTTCAGCAGAAAAAAAGGTGTTTACAGCCTGGTACAAAAAAAGGTTTTGGTTAATACAGCTACTATTACCCTTCATGACAACTGTGAGGGGGGTGAATTTTTTTATAACTCATCCGTTTCCTTTATATTAAGTTATATTAAGTTTGCATAATTAAGGGAGTGGCCACTTGAGTGACAGCTAGGTCTCGTAGGTCACGTCACCTCAGCAAAATCCTGCAGATTAGCCACTGAACTCAGCATATTTATCGTATTTCTGTGTTGTTTTATGTGGCTTTACACTGTCAACTGCCTTTTAGACTACAATTTATTTTCCCACAATTATTAGATGGCATGCTGAGTGCACTTAATTGTGCTCACAAACCATTCACGTGGCCTCCGTTTCCCATGTGAGTAAAGTTATATACTTATATACCATCTTTATACATGTATTTGTTTTATTTAAGATCCTTTATCGTTTATATTTATATTTAGAGCTGTAATGCACTCCAGAATCTGACGGATTGATTAGCTGTAGGCTCTAGAACAGTCATCTGAAGCGTTGTCATACAGTGTTATGCTGGATTTTATCAATAGTCTTACAGTAACTAACACAGACTAGAGCTGAAGTGTTTGGAAGTAATTTGCGTTTTCCTCCTGTTGAAAAACGTCATAAGAGCAATGTTTAGTGGCTCAATGTATTACAGTAGTGTTTTTACAAGTCTAAACACTTGAATGATATAGTGTACAACCAAGCACAAGTGGTCAGAATACAAGCAAGTCGCAGGTGATGAAGTATTAAGCGTTCTCCCAAAGTAAAGTGTGTCTGAACCAGGTCCAAACTAAATGCCAGCAGGTGTCTGTAGCTCCGCTCACTCTCCGCCTCTTTGCCCTTGTTTGGTATCCCGCCGTGGGTGTGATGACGTGCGAACAAAATGGCGACGGTTGGCCGTGCCTACTTGTGGCTTCTTTTGCGCTCTTTAGAAACCAATGGGTGACGTCACGGACACTACGTCCATATATTTTACAGTCTATGGTGCTACCCAAATAATAAGTCTTTGAGCCAGGTGGAGCATTAGACCAGGGGCTCATCTCCTGTTTCCAAAATGCATCACAAACTGCTTGAGGAACTGTTCTACACTGATAATTGGTGATGAAAATAAATGATGTTCAATAAGATTTACTTGTGTTTACTCACTGTTTATTCAGTTAAACATGAATGTTAAACTGTAGCCCTACAAAAACTGATTCTGGAACCGTAAACAGAGATTTTTGATGACCTTAATGCGACTAAAGTCATAACTGAACTAAACAGAAATGGGATTAATACATGTGGAGTATGCAAATATTAGTGGCATTACTAAAGTAAACACCGCCATCAGACTATTACCGTCATGTAGGACTTTTCAATATAATTTCCGCCAAGATTCACACACACGGCTGTCAGTAAAGGACCGCAAGCGCACACACCGCAAATGCGGAAGTTTTTTTCTCTCCATTCGGCGTGCGTTATTAAAATCCATAACACTCTTGCCAGTCCTCACTCCTTATTTGCGTCTAATAGCCCAGTTTATCACGGGGGCATGAATGAAATGTTCATGACTTAAAGTGAAACTGTTGAACTGCAGTTAAAGTCTGCTTGCTTTTAATGAGTCTTCTGTTTTCATCACTGCAGACTAAATCAGTAATCAGAATGAAAGAAGAAATGCCCGCATGTGTTTAGCATTTTTCCTTACGCAAACACAACAGTAATCTGGTAGTGTTTGAGCTGCTTTAGCTTGTTTGGGGATAATTATTATGATCTCCTGACAACGGAGAAATACTGAGAAATCTCTGTAAACTGATGGCAGCCGTTCAGCCTTATAATCTTAAATGTGAGCAAAATCAGCTGTTTTACCATCTCTTTAGACAGTACACTAGAGAATCATTCAAACACTAAATTACTATAAAAGTGACACTAGTGAAGTAGAAACGGTTTCTGTTGTTCTGACATCAGCTGCAGAAGAAAGTAGTTCCTCATACAAAAGAGTTTTAGACTCACCGTGTTTGATTTTCTTTTTTATATACACATGATCATGCTGTCACACTGTTGTATAAACGCATCCCAAAGCTGCTCTATTGGATTGAGATCTGGTGACTGTGGAGGCCATTTGAGTACAGTGAACTCATTGTCATGTTTAAGAAACCAGTCTGAGATGATTAAGCTTTATGACATGGTGCATTATCCTGCTGGAAGTAGCCATCAGAAGATGGAGACACTGTGCTCATAAAGGGATGGACATGGTCAGCAGCAATACTCAGGTAGGCTGTGGAGTTGACACGATGCTCAATTGGTACTAATGAGCCCAGAGTGTGCCAAGAAAATCTCCCCCACACCATTACACCACCACCACCAGCCTGAACCACTGATACAAGGCAGGATGGAGCCATGCTTTCATGTTGTTGAGGCCAAATTCTGAGTCAAGCATCCAAATGTGTCAGCAGAAATGGAGACTCATCAGAGCATGCAACGTTTCTCCAATCTTCTATTGTCCAGTTTTGGTGAGCCTGTGTGAATTGTAGCCTCAGTTTCCTGTTCTTAGCTGACAGGAGCGGCACCCGGTGTGGTCTTCTGCTGCTGTAGCCCACCTGCCTCAAGGTTGGACGTGTTGTGTGTTCAGAGATGCTCTTCTGCAGACCTTGGTTGTATCGAGTGCTTATTTGAGTTACTTTTGCCTTTCTATCAGCTGGAACCAGTCTGGCCATTCTCCTCTGACCTCTGGCCTCATTAACAAGGCATTTGCGCCCACAGAACTGCCGCTCACTGGATATTTCCTCTTTGTCGGAGCATTCTCTGTAAACCCTAGAGATGGTTGTGCATGAAAATCCCAGTAGATCAGCAGTTTCTGAAATACTTAGAGCAGCCCGTCTGGCAGCAACAACCATGCTGCCATGTGATTGGCTGATTAGAAATTTGTGTTAACGAGCAGTTGGACAGGTGTACCTAATAAAGTGGCCGGTGAGCATATAATATAAATCAACCGTTTGCATGATAAGACAGCTAAAATTTACACATTCATTCCTTTTTTCTTTTTGGTCAGGTTATCTTCATCCCCGTCATAAACTCTAGGGGTGAGTCATCTAAAGTGTGAATATTTAAGAGTGCGGTAGTGAATTAAACCTTTTCATTCTGTACGATTAGCTTGTCTGTATAAGAATGTTTCATTGATCATACATGAATATGGTCATGGATTGATGTTTACGCTCATATCTGCGCTCGTTTCTACATCGCATTAATTAATGAGGCCCGTTGTGTTTGCATCTCTGTCTCTCTGTTCTGGGGATTTTTTTTGTAATATCGTCACATTAGAATTATAAGGTTCTATCTAGGGCTGGGCGATATGGCAAATATAAAAATCTAGGTTTTTTATAAAGTTTAACCGATTCACGATTCATGATTTTGATTTTTTTTATTGTGTAACTAGTCAACCTAAAACATTACAATAACATGACTGAAGTAACATTCTCTTTATAAGTAACTGGAAACACCATCTGGTTAAGGAACATTGTATTTTTAATGGCCATGCCATACATAAACTGGTCAACAAGGTGTAAATAAATGCAAAACAAATTCACGAGTTAAATATTGTTGCAGAAGATTTGAATAAAAATATTTGTGTAAATATTGCAGTTGTGGGAATACAGAGGTATTTTTTGCAAGTTTTGCTGAGCCAAGGAAAGATCGTCTGTCAGCTCGGCTTTGACTTTGTCTTCTTCTGATTGAATGACAGGTTGTAATGCTGCTGCCTTTTTCTTAAAAAAGATACTGTAGAAGAAAGGAACTGAACATAAAAACTGTAAAGCCTAATTTAACCCAATGTGTGAAGTTGTGGACGTATAGCAGGAGCAAATACAAGCACCAGATGTGTGTCTAATATAAAATAATCTATTTAATCTATTTTTCTTCTTTCTCCCTTTTAAATACCGATCATTTGATGCGCTTTGCTCCACTCTCTGTATTATGCTGCCTGACTGCATGTCTGGATTTCAACTAGGTCCGCTAAATAACGTCATGGGGGCGGGTACTTTCACTGCTACAACTGCTCACCTCTGCTCGTGTTCAAACCAACAGAACAGTGCTGTTCGAACTAAGATCGGTGCCGTTTTTCACATTTCAGGTTTTTACATCCTTCGTACATGTTGAGATTGAGTTTATTGACTTAATGAGGGAATATGTCTTGACAATCCACACAGACGTGACTTAGTGAAGCATGAAGTCATGAAAGGTTTTACTTTTTGCATTAGTCTGATTGTAAATCCCCTCGCAGTGGTGGAGTAGCATGAGAGAGTGGACCAAAGCGCATTTGATGCAAAGGGTATTAACAAAAGAAAAATACACAACTGAAGACACTTAAATGCTTGTATTTGTTGTATTTGCACCAGCTCTGCGATGCATGCCCACAACTTCATGCATTGGGTTAAATTAATAAATTGGGTTAAATAAATGAT